TTGAGGAAAATTATTTACAGGATATATCGACTTAAGTAGCGCCTTATGTTAATGGAAATTGGGGCGTTACAAAAATTCTTCGGAATCACCAAGAAGGTGTCACTGCCTTGGCAATTAGCCTTAATTCCACCATCCTTGCTTCTGGGTCCATCGACCACTCCGTCAAGCTCTACAAAATCCCTGGTAATTCTTCTGTTGGAATTAATTTGTTTCATTTTTGACGAAAGTTATTTGTTCTTTTTATTTTCTGAATTTTTTCTCGATGCAGTTCTTTGGAGTTCTAATTTAAGCTCGATTTGCATTCTTTAAAGTTCAAAATCAAATTAAAGGGGAATATTAAGATTCTGTGGAAAATATATATATTATGCAATATTGGGATACAAAATGTTGACTTTGATTGAATTTCACAAGTTGTAATAAAATTGATTTGTTTGTGTAAAATTATTAGTGGTTCTTTGATTATTAGGAGCATTAAATTAGTATCCACCCTTGTTGAAGGAAATGAATTTAAATTTGTTTGTACAACGTTTATGTTATGGAAACTAGAATGTTTTAATACTAGTTTGTTGCGAAATATAAGAGAGTAAGTGGAATATGAAGTAAAGATCACAAGAACACAAGAATAAAATAATTTTGCAGAGAATGGAGATTTTATTATAATATGGAGAAAGAATACAAAAAATAAGCGTTTATGTATTTTCTAACTTAATTTAACTTCTTTTAAAATATAATGAAGAACCAACTATATATAAATAACAATTAGGGGACGTTCAAACCGTCGTAATAGAGTTGTAGATGAAGTAGAATGCCATAAATGGAGTCGAAAATGTGAAAGAACAGAAAAATCGCGTAGGTACGAAATACGGGTCGGCGCCCCGGCACCATGGGGCTGTACCTATTCTGCCCGCTTTGGTGCAGGTGGCACCTAGGTGCCTCGTCTCCATCCAAAAAACCTTTCAAAAGTATTTTTCTTCATTGCAAAATCTTTTTCAAGTCCAACACAAATTCTTATTTTCAATGGACTTCTAAATAGAATTTCAATTAGAATTTGCTAAGAAAATTTAAATAGGATTTCACAATTGCATTCCAAGTAGGTAACTAATTAATGCCCATTTAATTAGAACTCTCAATTATCTTCGACAAAGAATTCGGATCACGTTCAAATTCTAATAATTTTCACCTTGATAAGTATTTCACTGCAATGAACAAAACTTTAAAAATTCTCTATTTGGAGACAAATTCTACTTCAAGGAATAAATTTAAACTCTTCAATGAAAATACAAACAAACTTCTCCATCAACAATTTCAACAAATATTCTTCACCTTTGTTATCCCAACTAGGGGCAAAAGTAATCTAATGACCACCAAACTAGGTTAAAATAAGTTCTGTAATAGGAGCACAACTGAATGCATCAAAAGAGGATTTTGGCTAGAATCAACACCCTTAACCACATTCAAATCATCAACAAATTTAGCAGAATTGTACCTATGTGGAATTTTATGGCCAAAATGGGTCTATTTCTAGCAATTGAATACGATGACACCGTTGATAATTGTGGCTTGACGGATTTATGTATATCCTCAAAATTCAATTGAAATCTCATTCTTAAACGAAGACCCTAAATTAGACTCTAATGGTACAGAAGCCAGTTTTAAATCCACGGGAATTCTTAAAATATGCTAATTACTTGAAGATTCCATATCACCTTACAAGATATATAAATGAGATTTTCTTTGTCCTATCAGCACAACACGGGCTTCTTTGACAACCTTTAGAACTCCACCTTCAACAGTGTACTTGTGCCCTTTTGAAGCAAAAGTAGTTAAAGAGAGAGTATTTTTCTTATAAGTAGATGCTCTCGATCATTGTTAGGATTTTCTGCAATACTTGCTTCTCTTGAAATTTCTGATTGTTAAAATTATGTTGATTTTGTAACTTATAACAATTGTTGATCAAATGCCCTTTTTTCTTTCATTAATTACAAAATTTGAAGTTAGATTTTGACTTGCTTCTCGAACGACCACCATGAACAATGAGACCATCTCTATGATCCCCAGATACTTCATCTTCTCCTTTGATTATAGAACATCGTAAACTTCTTGGATGGAGTATCACAACTATATAGTATCGTGTCTCTGAAAGACATGTATGAGGCGGGTAATGAATACAAAAAAATCAATCCCAAGTTTTCTTCATCATATTTGACCTCCAAGGTCTTCAAATCAGTGATGATTTCCTTAAAAGCAGCTAGGTGATCTCTAAGAGACATACCTTCTGTCATATGATGAGAATATAGACGTTGTTTCAATGTAATTTGCTATTAAGACTCTTTGTCATGCATAATTGCTCCAATTTTAATCATAATGCAGTGGCGGATTTCTCCTTCAACATGTTCTGAAGAATATTTTTGGAAAGATGAAGATATATTTGAGATAGGGCCTTTCGATCGCTCTGTTGTTTTTCCTCCATTTGTGAGCATTTTGTGAAATCCCAACAACGCGTCATCCAAATTTATCTGAGTGAGTACTTCTCCCATCTTTCACAAAGAGAATCGTGTATTGCGATCTATTAGTGAAATATCGTACTTCATTGGTGTCATCACGAAAAACCTCGATCTTCCTAAGAATTTCAACACTAAAAGCTCTGGTACCAATTGTTATGGAAACTGAAATGTTCTAATATCAATTTTTTGTGAAAAGATAAGAGATTAAGTACAATATGAAGTAAAGATCACAATAACACAAGAATAAAATAATTTTGCTAAGAATGTAGATTTTATTATAATATGGAGAAAGAGTACAAAGATTATATGTTTATGTTTTTTCTAACTTAATCTAACTTATTTTAAAATACAATAAAGAGCCAATTATATGTATGGAACAATTAGGGGACGTTTAAATGCTCGTAGTAGAGTTGTACATAAAGTAGAATACTAAAAACGGAGTTCAAAACGGAAAAGGGGGGAAAAAATTGCCCAGGGGCAAAACAGGGGGCAACTCCACTCTCCGGGCGCCAGCTATTCTGTTGCTTTTGTACGGGTGGCGCTTGGGCACTGCAACCCTGCTCTTAGGCGTCCGTCTCCATCCAAAAACCTTTCAAAGATGTTTTTCTCTATTTCAAAACCTTATTCAAATCTAACACAAATTCCTACTATCAAAGGGCTTCCAAGTAGAACTTCAATTAGAATTTGTCAAGAAAGCTTGAATAGAATTTCACAATTGCATTTCAAATATGATTCCAATTAATGTGTATTTTGTAACGATCCGACCTCTCGTCGGAGCCGTTATATTACGTACTGTCCGCTCTGGGGTGGGCTTCTGCCCACTTATCCCCTCATGGCTTTTGATAAGTGTGTTTTCCAAAAACTTGTTCGGGTTTCGATTCTAT